CAACTGAACTGAACTGAACTGATGACTGACTCATGTTGATGTTTGGTAGAAACCAATGCAATACTGTAAAGCAAATATCCTTCAATTAAAAAAAAATAATCTAGAAAAAGAAGTGAAAAATAAACCAAAAGCAAGCAGAAGAAAAGAAATAACACATGAATAAAACTCAACGAAATTAAAGATAGAAAATAGGGAAAATTAATGAAACAAAAAGCTCTCTCTTTGAAAAGATCAATAAAATTGACAAACCTCTAGCAAGGAAGACAAAGAAACAAAGAGAAGACACAAATTATTAATATCAGAAATAAAACAAGGGGTGTCATTACAGACACTTCAGACACCAAAAAGATAAGGGAGTATTATAAAGAACTCTACACCTATAAATCTGACAACTTAGACAAAATGGACCAATTCCTCAAAAAGCACAAACTGCTGAAGCTCCCCCAACATGGAATAGATCATTTGAACAGCCTTACAATTATTAAGAAAATTGATTTTGTAATTAAAAAATTCTCTCAAAAGAAATTAGAGGCCCCAATGTGTTCACTGGAGAATTCTTCCATGTGTTTAAAGAGTTAATAGAAATTCTACACAATCTCTTCCAGAAAATAGAAGGGGAATACTTGCAATTCACTTGGTGAAACCAGTTTTACCTTGATATCCTCCCCAAAACAAAAACTAGTACAGAAAAAGAAAACTAGAGACCAGCATCCCCAAATAATTCAATTTTAAAATATTTAACAAAATAGTAGCAAATAGGAGTTAGCATTATATCAAAAAGAATTATACATTATGATCCAGTAGATTTATTCCAGGGATGCAAAGCTGGTTCAAAGTTCAATGATCAATCAATGTAATCCATCATATAAACAAGCTAAAAAGAAGAAAAATCACATGATCATATCAATTGATGCAGAAAAAGTATTTAACAAAATTAACATCTGTTCATGATATAACTCACGAAAAAATAGGAATAAGGATGACTTCCTCAACTTGTTAAAGAACATCTGCAAAAACCAATAGCTAACTACACACTTTCCTTCCAAAGCTGAAAAAAAGGCAAAGAGGTCTGTTCTCACCATTTTTATTTAAACTTTTGATGGGAGTTCTGGTGAGTGTAAGAAAACAATAAAAGGAAATAAAAGGCATTCATATTGGAATGGAAGAAATAAAACTGTCCTCTTATTTACATATGACATGATTGTGTGGAAAATTAAAAAGAAAAAAGTTGCACAAAATCTAGAACTAATAAGTGAATTTAGAAAGTTCACTGGATACAAGATAAACATACAAAAGTCAATTGTATTTCTGCATAATTAATTTAAAACACAATACCATTTAAAATCATCCCCAAATAGAAAAATGCTAAGGTATAAATCTAACAAAATGTGTAAAACACACACGGTAAAAACTACCACATAAATAAATAATAATTGGAAAGAAATCATGACCATGATCGGCAGATTCACATAGTGAAAATGTCAGTTCTCAAACTGATAACAGGTTTAACATAATTCCTATCAAAATCATCAATATTTTTTGTAGATATAGATAAATTATTTTAGAATTTATAAGAAAAGGTAAAGGAACTAGAAAAGCTAAAAAACATCTTTTTTTTTGGAGAAGAAAAGGAGTGGTGGAGAACAATCAACCCCGCTTCAAGATGTATTATGTAGCTACAGTATCGGGGCTCTGTAGCATTGACAGAGGGAGACACATAGATCAGGGAGCAGAACAAAGAACTCAGAAACAGACCTGCAAACATGGGCAATCAGTCTCTGACAGAGGAGCCAATGCTGCTCAAAGGAGGAAGAAGAGCCTTTTTTAACAGACCAGCCTGGAATACCTGGACATCCAAAGGCAAACTCTGCCCTTTCCAAAACCAAACCAAACCAAACAAACAAAAAATCTAAGTCTCAGTACTTACACAAAAATTAACTCAAGATAGGTCATAGACTTAGACATGAACTATAAAAAAAAAACAGGAGAAAATCTTCAGGACAGGGCTAGGCCAAGAGTTCTTAGACTTGACAGCAACAGCCAGATCAGTCAATGGAAAACTGTTTAACTGGTCTTCCTTAAAGTTAAAGCTTTCACCCTGTGTAAGACTCCATGAAGAGGTTGAAAAGACAAGCTACATACTCAGAGAAAATATTTTCAAACCACATATCCAACAGAGGACTAGTAGCTAGAACACATAACACACTTATCAAAATAGGTAAAAAAATTTTTTTAAATTGACAATACCTAATGCTGGTGAGGATGCAGAAAAACTGGATCACTCACACATTGCTGGTAGGAATGTAAAATGGTATAGTTACTCATTTACCCATGAAACAAACATCTTTGTGTCTCAAGATCATGTCTTCTCATTTATAACTTCCTTCATAATCTTGTGAGGTGCTATATTTTATGGTATTTTAAATTATGCAAAACATTATAATGGACTCCTTACTAATATCAATTTGAACTTTAATATAACCATTCTTAGCAGTTCTTGTCTATTTTCAAAACTAGAAGCATTTTTGACAGAAAAATTAAAATAAAATTTTCATTTTTGTTTCAAGTAATCTACTTTTGGTACAAATAAGTGGGGCTGAATATCTTCCTACCAGGTTTCTCAGTTACTTGATTAGCTGTTAGTTTGCTGAGGCTGGATGTATTGCTGTTGTCAGTTGCTCAGTTGTGTCTGACTCTTTGAGACCCCATGGGCTGCAGCACACCAGGCTTCCCTGTCCTTCACTATCTCCTGGAGTTTGCTCAGACTAATGTCCATTGAGTCGATGATGCCTTTCAACCATCTCATCCTCTGTCGTCCCCTTCTCCTCCTGTCCCCAGTCCTTCTCAGCATCAGGGTCTTTTCCAATGAGTCAGCTCCTCACATCAAGTGGCCAAAGTATTGGAGCTTCAGCATCAGTCCTTCCAGTGAATATTCAGGACTGATTTCCTTTAGCATTTATTGGTTCAATCTTCTTGCTGTCCAAAGGAATCTCAAGAGTCTTCTCCAGCACCACAGTTCGAAAGCATCAATTCTTCAGCACTCAGCCTTCTTTATGGTCCAGCTCTCACCTCTGTACATCTGGTTGTATATATGTTCTAAAGTCAGTTTATGTCTTAAATTCACTCTGTAGTAGATGTAGTAGATTACTCTTCAGTCCATGTGTCACGGCAATTTAGAGATTAAATCTCAAGGTAGTAGATAACATCATATAGAAACATAACCAAAACAGCTTTGTTTCAAATCCCAGATAGAAATCTATCAAACTGTCTATTCATCAATACTTCTTAATACCACACTGTATCCACTAGATCAAACCAAATGTGGAATAATGAATTTAACAAGATTAAAAAAAAATTTAACCCTAATTTGTTTTCAGTGCTTGAACTCTTGGACTACCCCACTGACTGTTTCTTTATTGTTAATTTTAAATTATATAAAATCACTAAGCATTGAATGAGCATTCAGGAAATGTAGTATGAGGCTCTGCATTGCAAATAATTTTCTGGATCATCTTGGATAAGTCATTAATCTCTTCACCTAAAAATGTGGAACCTGGACTGTTAGATTCTGTCTAAGCTTCTTTTTGACTCAAAAAGTCAATTGAATCTCTTAAAGAAGTCTTAATTAGAGCTGATTTCTTTAAATTAAATCATCAGTTGAAGGAACCTAGCCAATTTCATTTCTCTCTATGACAAAACTGGACACACTGATACTAAATACCATCAGGAGGGTAGTGGGGAAGTTACACCTCTAATGTTTCTACTGATTCAAGTGGGAATGCCAAGGTATTCTTGCTTCCAGTCCGATTCAGTCTTAGTAAAAGACACGACCCCTTGGGTTAAATCAACACGCAGATTAGTGGATCACTGTCAGAGACTGACTTCTTCAGTTCAGTTCAGTCCAGTCGCTCAGTCGTGTCCGACTCTTTGTGATCTCATGAACTGCAGTGCGCCAGCCCTCCCTGTCCATCACCAACTGCCAGAGTCCACCCAAACCCACATCCATTGAGTCGGTGATGCCATCCAACCATCTCATCCTCTGTTGTCCCCTTCTCCTCCTGCCTTTAATGTTTCCCAGCATCAGGGTCTTTTCAAATGAGTCAGCTCTTCCCATCAGGTGGCCAAAGTATTGAAGTTTCAGCTTCAGCATCAGTCCCTCCAATGAATATTCAGGACTGACTTCCTTTAGGATGGACTGGTTGGATCTCCTTGCAGTCCAAGGGACTCTCAAGAGTCTTCTCCAACACCACAGTTCAAAAGCATCAATTCTTCCACACTCAGCTTTCTTTATAGTCCAACTCTCACATCCATACATGACCACTGGAAAAACCATAACCTTGACTAGATGGGCCTTTGTTGACAAAGAAATGTCTCTGCTTTTCAATATAGTGCTCTATTATTAGCCTGTTGCCCTTTTTAAACATTTTCGTTACTGATCTGAAGGAAACATTGTCCAAATCAAACTTGGGATAAATATATTAAGATAACAAAATCAGCTCCTAAAAGAATCTCAACGAGATTTTAAAAATAGGCCAAAAGCACAAAGACAGACATTCACAAGGAACAAAGGTTAAGTCCTATATTTGGCTCCAAAAACATCAGCTCTCCAAATACAGAATGGGGATAACTAGTTTGACAATGGTTGCATCCTCCCCTCCTTTCCCACGGCACCTGGCATTCTAGCTCAGCGAAGTCCCATGTGGAGCTGACAGCACTGTACAAAATCTTAAAACGTGAGTACATGCTTGAGGTGCATTAACAACAGTGTTCGGATCAGAGTGTAAAAGTGAAGCCCCTATATCCTCTACCAATCAAGCCTCGCCTGCAGATAGGGATGAAATTTGGGGCACCTACTTGACAAAGCTTAAGTCATTCTTGATACCCACTGAATAGGACACTGAACATAAGGAATCCGAAGCCAAGTCACAGGGAGCATACTCAAGGGTTCCAGTGAGTCTGGTTTAGAGAGGAGACATCACACGGTGAGTAAGAAATCTCACCCAGGGCGTGGGCGACGCTTGCCAACTGAGGAGGAATGAGGGCGTGGCCCCGCCCAAAGCGCCGGCTCGTCCCGGATCGCCGGAAGGGGTGGGGCGTGGCCCGAGCGCCATCGGAAGTGGCCCGCGGGGCGCCATGCTGGAGGCCTTGCGCGTGTTCTGTGGGCTGCGCGAGATGGTGACGACCCGTGACGCCCCAATGGTTGCCGGGGCACCGTGCAGGCGTTCGGAGTCTGGCGGCTCCTCTCTTTTACGCACCTTTCGTCAGGAGCGGGCGGCTGCGACTGCGCCTTGGGCAGCCGTCCAGGCCTAGAACCATGAGATCCGGGGGCGCGGGCTGCTCTGCTAGGCTGCTGCTGACGGTTGGCTGGCTGCTCCTGACGGGCCTCCAGTTAACGTGCGGGATCAATGTCACCGCGATCCAGGATCCCAGCTTGGCCCGCGAAGGCGAGGGCGAGCCAGAGGGCGACGAGGAGCCCGAGAACGACAGCGAGACAGAGAGCGAGCCCGAGGCTGAGGCCGAGGATGATAGTGAGGGTGAGAGGCTCGTTGGCGGGGACCCGGAGGCCTGTTGAAGGCGAAGCCTTCCCTGCTTTTTGAGGAAGATGAGAATTACCCAAGTTAACGTCTGTTAACTCTCTCGAAAGCTTTCTGGAAAGCAGCCCCGAATGTGTACATTATTGCAAACTTAATGGCCCTGCAAAAAAGGATGTGCTAATTCTCCAAAACCTCAGCAAGATAACCATATGTATAGAAATTGCTACAGAAATATTGCTAAATATTGCTCTGGACAAGGGAATAGATGCTTAATTTTCTAAGGGTAGGAGTCACAAAGTTACCTTCCACCCACTTGCAATTATGATTTTTCTTTCCTGTTGTGTGTGTGTGTATTTGTTGCTTAGTCGCGTCCAACTCTTTGCGACCCCATGGACTGTAGCCCACCTGACTCCTCTGTCCATGGAATTCTCCAGGCAAGAGTACTGGAGTAGGTTGTCATTTCCTTCTCCAGGGCATCGTCTTGCTCTAGGGATAGAACTCAGGTCTCCTGCATTACAGGCGGAGTCTTTGCCATCTGAGTCACCAGGGACTTTCCCTCTGTAGCTTTTTTTTTTTAAGTGCAGATTGCCTGAAGTCTTCCTTTTCATATTTGCCCTTTGGATTGGAACTCAAGGGAATTCCAAATTCCCTTCACTGTGACACATCTAGATAGACCAAGATACTGACAGAATAGCCCAGAAAACCTCTTAGTTTCGTGCAGCCTCTCTGCAGTGTGATGGTGTTTTAAGTTCAGCTTGGAATCACAAAGGAAGGATGGCAGTAGAAACACCTATCAAGGGATCAAACTAGAGGCTTTGTTAAGTGATATACATTTTAAGGAAAGAAGACTAGCTCATATTTGGTACATAAATTTGCCTTATTCGCCTGGCTCATTAAGCAATAAAACTTGACAAGCTGGGATATTGATTAGTTAGCTCACATGCTAGTAGATAAAAGGTCAGTTGCAGGTTTGCAGTCATCTAAAGGAGAATGATTCTCTTCCCTCTATAAATGACCCAGTTGAGCTTCTTTTTAATATCCTTGGCAGTCTCCTGTCTCCTATGCATATCAAGTAGGTGATGTATTTATCAGTCATTCTTTTATAGCCTGATGATAGTGACCCTCAGTGACATAAAGAAATTGACTATCTGAGGTTAATGGTGTAATTGAGGTTTGTGCTACCTTGATAGCATTACATGTAAGAGCTTGGAGAGGTCTTCTACTTTGGAAATGTGAAAAGAGGACTAGGGTAGAAAAGACCATTCTGAAGCATAGTTGTTTTTGTTTTGAAAGTAATTGAATTAACAATATTAAACTGGTTAAGGGATAGTTGTAAAATGCTAGAGTGTAGGCAGGTGATGGAGTTATAATGCCTTAGATTCCAGTTCAAGTATAGGCAAGTTATTCTCAGTTTCTCTGGTTTGTCCTCTGAACTTCAGGGAGCCCTTGTATCATTTAATATACAGTTCTATGTGCAGCTGTTTTGTTTTGTTTTGTTTTGTTTTCTGGGGAGAATGAGAATCCAGAACTTAATCCAAGATACCTGAGATCTAAAAATTTCCAGAATCATTAATTAAAATTTGGCAAAGTCCCTTTTAACCCTCAGTGGAACAGTAAAAGCAGTCATCATCATTTATGTATATATATAAAGCTTAAGGTATTTACAAATAACTTGCAAATGTAAGAGTAAAGGGATAGTGAAAACAACTTATTTGAGATTATAAGTTGTTTGTAATAATAAGAATTTAAACCTGGAAAGCTCCAAATTTTTATTGTATATTTCTTGGTTTTGAAGAAATACATACCCTAATTGGGCAAAGTACTCTGAATGCAGCTGAATGCTCATCAGCTGTTATGCATGAATCTGGAATGTGTCCATTTTGTAAATACTGATTCCAGATTTCAAGTACTTCCCTAACAGATTCTAGTTTATCATTACTTTGGTTTCTTTCTGCACTGGTATTGTCAAAACACAGAACTTCTGAAATCTATGAAGGCACATGTTTTGTTTAAAAGAAGACTGCCATCGTGTTTGTTCCATAGTTTCAAAGATATGGAGAGTATTCTTTCCCAACACTTACTTAATAAGACTTGCAAATGAACAAATCATGATGGCAGGTGTGTATATAAAGGTGACCAAAGTAAATAGATTACATAGAAATGAATAAAATTCATTGGACCGATCATTCTAATTGGCATTTATAAATCTTAAAAGAATACTCTCCATATCCTTTTTGACAAAATAATATGGTCTGGCTTTTTTCCCAAAATATTTTAGGATCAAGTTCTTCCTGTTGAAAGCCCAACTAGATGAGAATAGCATATATCCTTCTCATCCTTCAAAATACAATACTTATTCATTGGTTCTCGAGTGAAGGGAAAATTCATCTAGAATATTTATTTAAGGTACCATCTCTCATTTTGCTTATGGAGTCAACGTCACTGTTAGCATCTAAAGTGTTGCTATCTCTCTGCATTTATCTTCTAATTCATCCAATAACTGTGAAAGGTATTCCTCTGTCACTTTTCTTCTCTGCCATTATAGACAAACAAGAAAAATTAAAAAATCTCAACTCTGTCCAATGAAAGCTGAAAATAGACTATGAGGAAGGTGCCTTTAGACTTCTTTTGTATCTTCCTGAGAGATAATACAATACATTGGACAAAATAGCAAGAAAACAAAAGATGATGTAAAAGCTGTGATTTATTTCACAGTTATGTCATCTTTCCCAGATAGCCCCACCATTCTTCCATTTTATTTAGTCTTTTCTTTTTAAATACAGTTGGAAATAATTGATGAGCAATAATGAAATCTATCATTATAGATGATAAAATAACAAAATGTTTCAAAATATAGAAAAACTAAAAACAGACTATGAGAAAGTTGCCTCAAAAATTAAAATTGATTTTTGATGGTATATACCAACAGTTAAAGTGTGCTGTCCAGAATTGAAGAGAACATTTTAGGATCTGGCCGGAACAAAAAAGATCAGGATCATTATCTGCATCATTGTGGATGCCCAGCTTTTATCTGCATGGTCAAAGACTCAGTAGATTTTTAGGAAAGCTTTATCACACTCTTGACTCCTGGTGAAGTCTTCACCCATTTTCACCTGTTCTGTCAAATTAAGATAGCCTGTACAGTATTTTGGGAACAGTTGACTTTTCAGCTGTATGTGCAGAACTTTTTAATCCTCTGACATTTCCTTTTGTTAGATTTGCCCATTATTCCACCCTGTCAGTTTTAAATCCAGATTTATTTTCAAAAATTTTTTTTGTCCTTCCTAGTTTTGCATGACCCCCAGATTCAGTCAGTGTGGTATCAGTATTTTCCAAATCATTCATAAAAATGTCGACCAGGACAGAGTTCTCTGACAGATCACTGATAACACGAGATACCAACCAATCAATTAGCTTCAGCGGATCTTACTGTTTAACAGTTACACGTGAAGCTTAACTGACCGTACTTTTTATTCACAGGTGTATGATGGGAAATTTTGACAAATACCACGCAAGTCAAGATACATAAAATTTCCCAGACCCACTGCTATAGAATTTCCATCAAAAAAGAAAGTCATTGAATGCCCTACTGGACATTCAATAAACAAAGGCAAAAGGAACTTTAGAAACTATTAGACTGAATCTCATTTTTTTCTAAAGTTAGGAGAACTGAAAGTATTAGCAACTTTCCTAAAGAGCACAGCAGAGCTGATTAATTAATTTTTTGGAAAGAGGTTATATTTAAGGGTAGTCTAGTACTCATTTGCATACTCTCGTTTTCTGTTTTTAAGATTTGGCTTTAATTTGTATTTCCTAATGTACCAGCAGAATGTATCCAAACATTTAAGCAAAAATGTCAATTCAGAATTGATCATCGTGATAGTCCTATTTCACAAAGTCAATATTAATTTACTTGTATATTCATCAAGTATAAATTTGTTTACTGTATATTCAAGGCACAGTATTTGGTGCCTATAAGTATAGAAGTGTTTATGAAAAATTATAATCTAAATAGGAAAAAATCCTAGACTTATATGAAATTAGTAATTACAAAATGAATGAAGTGTGAGTGAGGGTATATCTTAGGCATGTTTAGAAGGCTAAACGATATACAGAATGCTTGCATATACATTATCACATTTAATTCTTAAAATAATATCAGTGAGATAGGTTCTCCTTTCCAAGTTTTACAGAGGGGTTAATTAGGCCTGACTCAGTTTAAGGAATTTGTTCAAACTCAGAATAGCTAATTAGTGGTAGAAGTAGCAATTTGGACTCCAATTTTGATGCATTGTCCCATGTAATAAATGTTGTTGCCTCACAATATCATGCCTTTTAAAAATTACCTTCTAGCACCTCATTTATTTTTTCTGAGATTGTAGTCCTCATCTGAGTTAGCAAGAATTGATTATATACAGCTAGTAGAATTCATGTCAAATTGCAGAACAATTTGAAAAAGAGAAACATGATATTTCAAACCAATAATTTTTAACTACTCAAATACTTATATATTCCTTGATCACCCTGCTAAATAAAATGTTGAAATAAATTCTTAGGAGTAACTTACCTTCTTAACCTGAGAATGAGTAGAACCAATTCATAACATAATTTTAATGAATACTTAACATGAAGGCTTCTGTTTGGATAGAAATAATACATTCAAAATTTTTTGGAAAGTAGAGAATAGAAAAAATTGGGCCCTATAATTGGCAGGCTTTTTTTTTTTTTCTGACCTTCTATACAGCTTTTAACTCAGCATATATTAAACTGATGAAAAGCATTATTTTAAAAATTATGTACAGGTTTAAATATAAATCTTTGTAAGTTATTTCCTAATTTAGTTCTTTAAAGATTTAGCTTTCTTTCTATTTAAACATTAATATAAGATATACTAGTAATGGCTTGCTTTTCTGATTTAATATAATTTTTTAAATGTCTGATTCCCATATCAGTGCTTATATCCTCCATCTCCAAGTAAGAGTTTTTCACTTAGAAAAGTTTCCCTATGATTGAATAATGTATTTTTGCATTTATTTTTAGTTTCAAATAGCACGATAGTCAAAGAAGTAGAATTTGGGATGTGCACCGTTACATGTGGTAAGTAACATAGAGCAGATAAATAATATTGTAGCTGGGGATGGGGGGACATAGTGTACTATCATGCATCTCTCTCTGATTTCTGTTTGTAATTGTGATTTATACACAAAACTCAAACTGATTGCTTTCTAAGGGAGGATATTTTCAGTTCATATCCTCTAAGTCTTATTTTAAGCCAGCTCTGTAATATATACATATTATTATTTTGTGGGGGGGGGCACATAAACTGCTTTCACAAGAGTAAAACTTTATCTCAGAGGTTTGGAAGATTAAAGATCTTCTGCTGCATCTCACAGATGTCTTCCACATATCAAAAGATTTGCTTTTTTAAATAGTCTATTCTAAATTCTACAGTTTTCCATTTTATATGTCATGTCTTAGAAAAAAGAGGTATTGGCTTTGTGGGGAAAATAGTATTCAAAGACTATGATTTATTTTGATCTTTCTTTGGATAGAAATTGGACATAAAATATCTTATAGAAGTATTGAATTAAGACTACATGTGCTGTAATAAGACTGTGAGTGCTTCATTGTGTTGGACTCTTTTGTGACCCAGTGTACCATAGCCCCCCAGGCTCCTCCGTCCATGGGATTTCTGAGGCACGAACACTGGAGTGGGCGGCCATTTCCTCCTCCAGGGGATCTTCCCGACCCGGGGATCGAACCTGCGTCTCCTACCTCTCCTGCATAGGCTGGTGAATTCTTGCACCACCTCAGACTTAAACGTGTTCACCATAAGTGCCTGAGGGCTTGTTAAAACATGGATTGTGAATCCTTCTTCAAAATTTCTGACTCACTTAGGCTTTCATTGAGGTCTAAGAATTTGTATTTCTAAAGTAAGTTCACAAATGAAGCTGATGCTGCTTTTTCAAAGACCATCTTTTGAGAACCACTATAGAGACATTACTTTGCCAACAAACGTCCATCTAGTCAAGGCTGTGGTTTTTCCGTTGGTCATGTATGGATGTGAGAGTTGGACTGTGAGGAAAGCTGAGCACAGAAGAATTTGATGCTTTTGAACTGTGGTGTTGGAGAAGACTCTTGAGAGTCCCTTGGACTGCAAGGAGATCCAACCAGTCCATCCTAAAGGAGATCAGTCCTGGGTGTTCATTGGAAGGACTGATGCTGAAGCTGAAACTCCAATACTTGGGCCACCTCATGCGAAGAGTTGACTCATTTGAAAAGACCCTGATGCTGGGAGGGATTGGGGGCAGGAGGAGAAGGGGATGATAGAGGATGACATGGCTGGATGGCATCACTGACTCGATGGGCATGAGTTTGAGTAAACTCCGGGAGTTGGTGATAGACAGGGAGGCCTGGCATGCTGCGATTCATGGGGTCGCAAAGAGTCGGACATGACTGAGCAACTGAACAGAACTGAACTGATAGACTAATATGCTAAGAAGACAGTAGATAATTCACAATGTAATTAAGTTTATTCTAAATAGAGTCTGCCTTGGAAAAAGATAGTGACAGAAGAGAAGAACAAAAACCAGAGGGGAAGAAATCATAGTCCATGCAGATACATATCAAAACAATATGTATGTTTTTTATCTTTTGGTCAAAAATTACAGCTAAATTGTTTTTATTTGAGATAAAGTTTTAAAAATGATGCTAAAATAGACTTAACAAAATTTACGCTTTTAACCATTTTTTAAATGTGCATTTTAATGAGATTAAGCACATTCATATTGTCATGCGATCATTATTGCAATCCACTCCCAACTTTTTCGTCATCCCAAATTGAAACCTCTGTACCAGTTAAACACTAATTTCCCACTTACCCCAATCCCTTGCAGCAATTATTCTACTTCCTGTCTCTTGAGATAGTTTTAAACCTGTTTTTTACCTTAATTTCTTGGTCAGTCAGAGTCAGAGATGAGAGGAATCTATGTAATAATTTTGTATTTATTCATTTGCAATTTATATTTTTATTCTGCTGCTTGTGAAATCCTCACAGAGAATGATTTTTTTGACAATTCTAATAATTGGTATTGTCCTACTCTTTAAAGTCGTGCTTCAGAAATTGTATATCTTTATTCAATAAATTTGGGCTTCCCTAGTGGCTCAGATGGTAAAGGATCCGTCAGCAGCGTGGGAGACCCAGGTTGGATCTCTCGGTCGGGAAGATCCCTTGGAGGAGGGCATGGCAACCCACTCCAGTATTCTTGCCTGGAGAATCCCATGGACAGAGGAGCCTGGCGGGCTGCAGTCCCTGGGATTGCAAAGAGTTGGACACAACTGAGTGACTAACACACATTCAACAAATTAGTTTTTAAGTTTTTGCCTACTATGTGCCAGGTATTATTATAGGTGTTAGAATACAGCAGTGAACAAAGCAGTGGAAACTCTCTGCCTTTAAGGAATATCTTTTCTAGTAGGGTCAAAGAGATACATAATGTAAAACATGTAATATGTCAGATGGTGGTAAGTTCTAAAAATAAACCATAAAAGGCAATATTTCACATCTATAATATTTTAACTATTAAAAATATTTTCAATCTGTAAAAATTATTTAAAAGAAATGCTTTAGTGAAAATTCTGTTGAACTCTCAAAACAATATTTTAGCATTCAAAAAGTTTCCTTTTCTTGGAACACACAAGCATGTTTTTAAGTATTGACTTATGTGTCACATCTACACACATCATTGCAATGAAATCTATTTGGCTGAATAAGTAAATACATAAAATACCTGCTTGGAAAATATTTCAAGATATAAGAATAAGAGTATCCCCCTAGAGAAGTACTATTCATAAATTTAAGTGAGCCATTCTACAGCCATTCTTAAGAATCTCATTTAATCAAAAAAGACCTTTCCCCATCCAGCCTTCCCTCTCCTTATTTTGTATGGAGGACTCTATTGTTTGCCTCTCAAAGTTTGGTCCACAGGCTAGCTTATCAGCATAGCCTGAGAGCTTGTGAGAAATTCAGAACTTCAGGACCTACTGCAGGTACTTACTGCATCATAATTTGCACATTAGTATATCTCAGGTGTTGTGCATGCTCTCTGAAAATTGAAACACGCTCTTATAAGCCATCTCTTATATTATAAATCAAGAGATTATAAGCCATCTCTTGTATTATAAGCCAAGCTCTATACAGTCAGCCAAAACAAGACTGGGATCTGACTGTGGCTCAGATCATGACCTCTTATTGCAAAATTCAGGCTTAAATTGAAGAAAGTAGGGAAAACCACTAGACCATTCAGGTATGACCTAAATGAAGTCCCTTACAATTATATAGTGGAAGTGACAGACAGATTCAGGGGATTAGATCTGATAAAGTGCCTGTGGATGGAGGTTCATGGCATTGTCCAGGAGACTGTGATCAAAACCATCCCCAAGAAAAAGAAACTCAAAAAGGCAAAATGGTTGTTTGAGGAGGCCTTAAAAATAGCTGAGAAAAGAAGAGAAGCAAAAGGCAAAGGAAAAAAGGAAAGATACATCCATCTGAATGCAAAGTTCCAAAGAACAGAAAGAAGAGATAAGAAAACCTTCCTCAGTGATCAGTGCAAAGAAATAGAGGAAAATGTCAGAACAGGAAAGACTAGATATCTCTTCAAGAGACTTAAAGATACCAAGGGAACATTTCATGCAAAGATGGGCACAATAAAGGACAGAAACAATGTGGACCTAACAGAAGCAGAAGATATTAAGAAGAGGTAGAAAGAATACACAGAAGAACTATACAAAAAAGATCTTCATGACGCAGATAACCACAGTGGTGTGATCACTCACCTAGAGCCAAACATCCTGTATTGCAAAGTCAAATAGACCTTAGGAAGCATCACTATGAACAAAGCTAGTGGAGGTGATGGAATTCCAACTGAGCTGCTTCAAATCCTAAAAGCTGATGCTGTGAAAGTGCTGTACTCAATATGCCAGCAAATTTAGAAAACTCAGCAGTGGCCACAGGACTGGAAAAGGTCAGTTTTCATTCCAATTCCAAAGAAACGCAATGTCAAAGAATGTTCAAACTACTGCACCATTGCACTTCTCTCACACGCTAGCAAAGAAATGCTCAAGATTCTCCAAGCTAGGCTTTAGCAGTACATGAACCGAGAACTTCCAGATGTTCAAGTTGGATTTAGAAAAGGCAGAGAAACCAGAGATCAAATTGCCAACATCCGTTGGATCATAGATAAAGCAAGAGAATTCCAGAAAAACATCTACTTCTGCTTCATTAACTATGCCAAAGCCTTTGACTGTGTTGGAAAATTCTTAAAAGAGATTGGAATACCAGACCACCTTACCTGCCTCCTGAGAAACCTGTGTGCAGGTCAAAAGCAACAGTTAGACCCAGACATGAAACAAAGGGATGGCTCCAAATTGGGAAAGCAGTACGTCAAGGCTGTATATTGTCACCCTGCTTATTTAACTTATATGCAGAATCTATCATGCAAAATGCTGGGCTGGATGAAGCATAAGCTGGAATCAGGATTGCAGGGAGAAGTATCAGTAACTTCAGATATGCAGATGACACCATAGTAATGTCTGAAAGCAAGGAACTAAAGACTTGCTTCTTAGTGAAAGAGGAGAATGAAAAAGCTGGCTTAAAACTCAACGTTCGAAAAACTAAGATCATGGCATAGGGTCCCGTCACTTCATGGCAAATATATGGGGAAACAATGGAAAGAGTGACAGGCTTTATTTTCTTGGACTCCAAAATTACTACACATGACTGCAGCCATGAAATTAAAAGACACTTGCTGCTTGGAATAAAAGCTATGACCAACCTAGAGAGTGAAAGTGAAAGTTGCTCAGTCATGTCTGACTCTTTGCAGTCGCATGGACTATGCAGTCGATGGAATTACCCAGGCCAGAATACTGAAATGGGTAACCTTTGCCCTCTTGAGGGGATCTTCCCAACCCATGATCAAACCCAGGTCTCCCGCCTTACAGGCTGATTCTTTACCAGCTGAGCCACAAGGGAACCCTAACTATGACCAACCTAGATAGTATATTAAAAAGCAGAGACATGACTTTGCTGACAAAGGTCCATCTAGTCAAAGCTATGGTTTTTCCAGTATTTATGTTTAGATGTGAAAGTTGGACCATAAAGAAAGCTGAGTGCCAAAGAATTGATGCTTTTGAACTGTGGGGGTGAAGACTCTTGAGAGCCCCTTGAACTGCAAGGAGATCAAACCTGTCAGTCCTAAAGGAGATCAGTCCTGAATATTCATTGGAAGAACTGATGCTGAAGCTGAAGCTCCAATACTTTGGCCACCTGATGCGAAGCGCTGACTCATTTGAAAAGACCCTGATGCTGGGAAAGATTGAAGGCAGGAGGAGAAGGGGATGACAGAGGATGAGATGGTTGGATGGCATCACCAACTCAATGGAGATGAGTTTGAGCAAGCTCCTGGAGTTGGTGATGGACAGCGAAGCCTGGTGTGCTGCAGTTCATGGGGTCGCAGATAGTCAGAAATGACTGAGTGACTGAGCTGAACTGAAGCCATCTCTAGACTTCAGCTTACCCTTGTCTTGAGAATGGGTTGTATGATTAACATCTTACAGGGACTGAAAGAAGGAACTTGGTAGGAAGAATATCAAGATGGACTACTCCTTAGCCTGTGACAGCACAGTCTTATCACAGGACGTGTTCGGCATGTCACTGAACCAGCTTTTAACCAGCTTTTATCATCTCTTTCACTTCTGGTGTTGGTAGGGCCAACTCAGTGGAGATTTGAAATGGGTCAGTAAAGACTTGATTTCTTATGAAATGTATGGCAGTTCTAACAAGAGTTATTACTTTGGAAATGGAGATTTGGTCATTAAGTCTATCTTGATAAATTTAATACAGAGCTTTTTACCAGTCTAGATATTAAAATCATCATTTATGTTACAATGTAATTTTTGTAATTTCCTCTGCAAGCTCCAACTCCCCCCATTCCAAAGTCACGTGGTCAAATAAATCTGGAAGATCCTGTGTGTTACTGCTTTCCTACTGTTTCAGTAGTAGACTTTACTAGTTGTAATAAGCGCATTTTATACATCTCTGAAAATGAAAAATACTGTCATTCTTGACATGCTGTCAATTCTAAAATGCATTCTGATCTCAAAAATGTTAGAATGTAAAAGTTTTGCATCTTTGATCAATGAAAGTTTACACATAATAGCACATTCATTTACTAGCATATTAAAAGGTCCTCTAAAATTCTGAGGAGATTCATTTCATTTCATTTTAATTTAATGTATAATTTCCAAGTATAAATAATCATGGAATCTTTTTTCTTATGTTATCTACCAGAGGAACTAGTGTTTCATGTGACTCATTTTGGAAAATGCTGTTTTATGAAATAATTCAAAATGCCTGTGCTCATGCTCAGCCACTTCAGTTGTATCCTACTCTTTTTGACCTCATGAACTGTAGCCCACCAGGCTCCTCTCCAGGCAAGAATACCAGAGTGGGTACCACTCCCTTCTCCAGGGGATCTTTCTGACTCAGGGATCGAACCCAGGTCTCCTGCATTGCAGGTTGATTCTTTACCTGCTGAGCCATCACTTAAATGTTCTTACCCTGAATTTAGGAATTTAATTTCTGAAATTAGGAGAAAAGTTTCAAAATGACCTAGGTGGAAAAATAAAATAACCCTGGAATTCTTTTTTTTTTTTAACATTTGCCAATTTCTTTTATCAAAGGTATCGGTATTAGAGAAGTTATATTGACAAGCGGATGCCCTGGTGGTGAATCCAAGTGTATCGTACGAGTGGAAGAATGTCGTGGACCAGTAGATTGTGGCTGTGAGTTGGACTTTATACTGGAGGGAGACAGAGGGGGCAGTGTTTACCCTGGGGAGATATCCTTAACCTCAGTTTGCCTTGAGTGGAGGGAGATGATCAAAATGATATACTGAAAGGAAATTATAAGAAAACTTAAAATCCCACTTCTCCAGACAGTTATAGGTCTTTCTACTTTTCTTTACCTTTTTTCAGTCGTGTCTAAATTTAACATACATCCTCTCTAGTACACTGGAACCTTTGCACTCAGGTTTTGGTTGCAGCTCTCCTTCAAAGAAATGCTTTTAACCTTTTGGTTGTGACAGTCTATCAGTAGATTGGTAAATCCTACATTGGGAACTTTGAGAGCCTTTCTGTATCAAATTTCACTAGTCTGAGGTTTCATTATCTCTAAGCCAGAAAGAGGTGGACAGGGGAGGGTTGTCCCTAACCAGAAAGCTGGCAGCCACTGGTAAGTGTATCTCAGAGTTTAATAGATCACCGAGTAGTTTGCCCTTACTGCCTCCTCTCTGTGGTTTATTTTGCCAAAGGAACAGACAGGCTTGGTGTTCACTTGCCTCTTCAGTGACTTTATCGTTGCATCCATGCCGACTCTGCTCCTCTACAGGGAGACTTCCAGGAATGTGTCTGCTAACTTCCAGCATGTAATTTCTTTTAAAGTTGGAGGTGACCTTTAAAAGTAGTATTGTGTATAAAGCAGTTCACAAGGCCCATTGGTTTATATATATGTAATTTTTTTTCAGGGGGTAGACCAATTTCAGAAAGCCTTGAACGTGTAAGGCTTGCCTGTGTTCATACATCTCCTGAAAACCGTTTCAAATATATTTGGAGACTTCTAAGGCCAGACCAGGTGAGTAATGAATGTATGTAATTTGGTGCTTTCCAGTGAGTGATAAGATTTGTTTCCCAGTGCTTGATGACTCTCAGAGCACTTTCTCTTCAAAAGCAGTTTGCAAAAATGAAGTAGAAATCATGCAACTTTATTATTATTGGGATTTAAATTTATTTTCATTTCTTAGTAGGTCTAAAACTTTATATATGTCTTAGGGCCAGCTATTATGAGAACTTAGAAGCATCTATTTTATATAAAGTGTTCTATTTTGGAAGCAAGGTTTTCATTTGTATGTATAATACTTGTATAATGATGACAATACCTAACATTAGTTGAGGGCTTATTAAATGCCAGATATACACCAACTGCTAGAGTTTCTTTTACTCATATAACAATCTATGAGGTAATTCCCATCATTATACCCATTTTGCAGATAAGTACAATTGTTGCTCAGTATCCTCAGGGAATTGATTCCAGGACCCTTTCAGACACCAGAATCAGAGATGCTCAATTTTCTTTTATAACATGGTGTAGTATTTGCATATAACAGATACTTCCTTCCATATACTTTAAATCATCTCTAGTTTATTTATAATGTAAATGCTATATAAGTATTTGTAAATACAATATAAATGCCAAGTAAAGAATTCAGTTCAGTTCAGTTGCTCAGTCTTGTCTGACTCTTTGCAACCCCATGAATCGCAGCATGCCAGGCCTTCCTGTCAAACTCCCGGAGTTTACTCAAACTCATGCCCATCCAGTCAGTGATGCCATCCAGCCATGTCATCCTCTGTCATCCCCTTCTCCTCCTGCCCCCAATCCCTCCCAGCATCAGGGTCTTTTCCAATGAGTCAGCTCTTCGCATGAGGTGGCCCAAGTATTGGAGTTTCAGCTTCAGCATCAGTCCTTCCAATGAACACCCAGGACTGATCTCCTTTAGGATGGACTGGTTGGATCTCCTTGCAGTCCAAGGGACTCTCAAGAGTCTTCTCCAGCACCACAGTTCAAAAGCATCAATTCTACTGTGCTCAGGTTTCTTCACAGTCCAACTCTCACATCCATACATGACCACTGGAAAAACCATAGCCTTGACTAGATGGACCTTTGTGGACAAAGTAATGTCTCTGCTTTTTAATATGCTATTTAGGTTGGTCATAACTTTCCTCCCAAGGAGTAAGCATCTTTTAATTTCATGGCTGCAGTCACCATCTGCAGTGATTTTGGAGCCCAAAAAAATAAAGTCTGACACTGTTTCCACTGTCTCCCCATCTATTTGCCATGAAGTGATGGGACCAGATGCCATGATCTTAGTGCAACCAATTCAAGTTTTGCTTTTTGGAACTTTCTGGAAATTTTTTTTTCTGAGTATCTTTAATCTGTGGTTTGTTGAATCTGCTGATGTGGAGCCCAAAGATATAGAGGACCAGCTGGAACTGAGACGCAGAGAGTAACTCATTCTGATTTACACAGTCAGGAAGTTGGTACTTGTTCTGTCTGACTTTAAAATACATGTGCATAATGAATTACTGTCCTCGACTGAGTGAAAGTGGCTCTTATTTTGTTACAAGAAATAAATTATTTTCTGATCTTAGGTTTTCATGAAGAATATTGATATCCTTTTTTTCTCTTAAAATAGCAAGCCATTATACTTGCAAATGATTCAGCAATCCTGGAAGTTCAGAGGGATACTCACCCCAAGGCTTTTGAGTGTGAAACGTTGGATAATAATGAAATAGTAGCATCTATTAGATTCACAATCTATACCACGACTGGTAAGTACCCAGCAACATTTTGACTTGCTTATATCTCAGACTTCGGAGAGCATCAGAATAATGTGGTGGTCTTGTGGAGACACAGATCACTAGCCCAGAGCCCATAGTTTCTTCATCTGTAGATCTTGAGTGAGGTGGGCACAAGAATTTCCATTTCTGACAAGTTCCTAGTTGCTGTTGGTCCAGAGATCACATTTTGGGAGCCACTAGTTTATACCAGTAAGACTTTTCTACAAGGTAGTGTGAGTTTCCCTGGTGGCTCAGATGATAAAGACTGCCTGCAGTGCAGGAGACCCAGCTTTGACCCCTGGGTTGGGAAGATCCCCGGAGAAGGAAATGGCTACCCACTCCAGTATCCTTGCCTGGAGAATTCCTTGGACAGAGGAGCCTGGCGGGCTGCAGTCCGTGGGGCCGCAAAGAGCTGGACACGACTGAGCGACTACCATGTCATTGCCCTTCATTATTTTCATTTTCACAAAGTAGAGTCAGATGTACCTCACTTTGGGAAACTGGTGTATTCCTGAAGAATTCCCAAAGGACAGTCCTTTAATTTGAATTATATTCTTACTTTTACTTCTTTCACAGAGGTGAGAATGAACACATAGAATTCTCATGGATGTGTAACAAAAATCTGGGCATGATAACCCCCTCCAGTATTCTTGCCTGGAGAATCCCGTGGACAGAGGAGCCTGGTGGGCTACAGTCCATAGGATCGCAGTTGGACACGACTGAAGCGACTTAGCACAGCACACGAAATAAATTAAGAAATATTATGTGAAAATGTATCTTTTAAAAAATTATTCATTTGAAGAAATTTTTTATAAAACAGTAGTGCAGTCCTCAATAAATGTCACAAAAGGCAAATCTTAACCTGAACATAATTTTACATGTTTGAAACTGTGCTTCCTTTGCAAAAAGGGTCCATGTGCATGTCTTTTCAATTTAAACTATGATGTCTTCTATATCCAAATAATTATTTCCTTTTGTTGAGTTGCTCTTAACCATTTTTATTGTTGGGGGTGTGGGAGATTTGGTCACAAGTTCTTTTGAGTCTCCAGTCAAGGCTCAGGAGACTTTCCCCAGAAAAATACCCACATATACAAATATGGCAAAAGTTACCTGTAATTTTACAAGATTTTGTGGATTTCTTGAGGCTATTTCTTGAGTCCCAAGTAAAGAACTTAAGCTGCTGTCTAGAGATACCATGAAATGTGACGCCCTTTATTTAACTGGAAACAAGCTGAGGTATTTTCAAGGTGATTTAAAAAAAAAACTGTAAACTTTCTTTGATGTAATTGTTCAGTGTCCTTAAAAAAATGTTTACAGTGAAAGCTAACAACCATAGTCCTATATTGGGATATACTAGGTGTTATTAAAAGAATAATGTCAATAAAAGGCAAAAAAGGACCGAACATCATCAACTAAAAAAGATCTCAGTGAGTCACAGTTCAGGCTATTAAAGGTTTTGAGAGCCTTTCTCAGTTCGTGTCCCCCAGCTTGGTCCTTGTTAGGACTGCTTAGTAGTGGCTAGCTCTTCCTGTGATTCAAAGGCAACAGGTGTAAGCTAAGGACTGGGGCACAGTCCCCAAGATCAGCAAGAGAGACTAGCTGGCTTCTCTGTCTCGTAGCTGTCCAGAACTGGTGGGGCGGCTCTGCAGTCTCAGCACATGCACTGGTTAGGTGGCAAAACGTTTTCAGAAAATGTTGGTATCTATCAGTTGCTTTTGAAAAAGACAATTCGGTATCCTGCTGTGACAGACCCTTTGGCTGTTTTAGACGTCAGACAAATGTTTTGGCTCTAAATGTCCTCACAGTATGGTACTGGCTCGAAACAAATACATGATTGAAATATTTCCAGAGTAGATACGGTTTAATTAATGAAAATGCCCCATCCATTCCCTCATATGACAGATTTTTCACTTCTACAATAATTGTCTTTTATAGTTAGGCATTATTTTGATTGAATCATGTCCCCCTAAAAAGGTATTTTCAATTCCAAACTCCTAGAACTTAAGAGTGTGATGGTGTCTGGAAATAGGGTTGTTGCAGATGTAATTAATTCAGTTAAGACATGATCTTACATACTAGAGAAGAGTGGGCTTTTAATCCAGTTTAACTGGTGTCCTCATGAGAAGAGGGAAATCTGGACACAGAAGGTGAGAGAGGAGAATAGGTGGAGACTCAGAGACATGTGGGGAGAAGACTGCCATGTGAAGATGGACACAGAGACTGGACTTACGCTGTCACAAACTGAGGGGCATCTATCTGGGGCTCCCGGAGCCTGGAGAGTAAAGGAAGGATCCTTCCCAGAGCCACTGGCGAGAGCATGGCCTTACCAGTGCCTGGTGTTCAAATGTTCACCCTCCAAGACCGTGAGGTGGCAGATATTTCTGTTGTTTTTAAGTCCCCTAGTTAGTGGTACTTTGTTATGGCGGCCCTCAGAAACTAATACAGACATGAGCTTAGTTTTTCTAAAATGTAAGAGCATCAAAATTTCTGTTTTTCATTAAAAAAATTTAAACAGAAATGGAAACTATTTTTTATTAGACATAAAAGTACTCTAAAGGACACTTGCAGGAAGATTACCATTAAAATGAAGCAGAATCTTGATACCTTTCATTCTCCACCCCTCTTGACTAGTATTTCAGGGTAGTGGATAAATGGAAAGAAATTTCGCATTTCTTCCCCTCAAGTTTTAATCCTAAAAGTTTTCTTTTTTTTATTTGAGCTTAAAAATTCCACTGCTTCTATAAGTAAAATTATCAAAAGTTAAAAACTTTTTAAATTTAACAATGTTAGAATATAAATATGATATAAATTGGCTTCCCTGGTGGTCAGTTGGTAAAGAGTCTGCCTGCAACACAGGAGACCTGGGTTTGATCCCTGGGTTGGGAAGATCCCCTGAAGAGAATGGCAACCCACTCCAGTACTCTTGCCTGGAGAGTTCTATGGACAGAGGAGCCTGGTGGGCTACAGTCCATGGTGTCACAAGGAGTCGGACGCGACTGAGTGACTGACTTTAACTTTTTTAAATTGTTTGTCATACTTGGAAGTATTTAGTGAGATCACTAAATAGAGTTTATAGCTCTTGAACTACTAAGAAAAATGGAAAATTATTCTTCACGGTGTTTAAATAACAGAGAGAAAACCAAGGTGAATAAGCAGTGGAGACTGCCTGACTATGAGACCCCGTCTGTGTTGTGTGTGCAGTCAGTCATGTCCAGCTCTTCATGACCCCGTGGACTGTAGCCCACCAGGCTCCTCTGTCCGTATGGTAGCCTTGTTTTGTCTCCTTAATAAGGAAGAGCAGACAGACACGGGAGAGAATGCTGATTTAAAAGTAGTGTTTGGATAGTGAGACATACACAAAAATTAGAGATGTGTTACAGTCCTAAATGTATTAATAAAAGCTAAAATCACCAAGCTTAAAAAAGAAAACATAAGAGACTATCTGTATGATTCAGGAGTAGGCAAGGCTTCCCCTTTAGATATGACAAAAACCAGTCACCATAAAAGGAAATATTGATAAATTAGACTTCATAAAATTTAAAACTTCATATTCCAAAAATGGTATTGGGAAAATTTTACAGCCAGATGCAAAAGAATGAAAGAAGGTCACTATCTTACACTGTACACAGAAATAAACTCAAAATAGATTAAAGAGTTGAATGTAAGACCTAAAATCATAAAATGCCCAGGAAAAAAAACATAGGCATATATAGGTTGATGTGGGTCTTAGCCATGTCTTTGTAGATTTAACTGCAGAGACAAGGGGAACAAGCAAAAATAAACAGTGGGACTACTTCAAACTGAACAGCTTCTGCACAGCAAAGGAAACCGTCTTCAGGACAAAGAGACAGCTTATGGAATGGAGGAGACATTCGCACATGGTATCTCTGATGAGGGGTTAATAGGCCAGGATGTATAAGGAACTCACAGTAATCAACTTAAAAAAAAAAGCCTGATAAAAATCAGGCAGAGGATCTGAATAGACATTTTTTCCAAAGAAGACATAGAGATGGTCAGCAGATGCATAAAAATGTGTCAGCACCACTAGTTGGGGAAAGCAAATCAAAACCACAGATACCACCTTATACCTACTAGAATGGTTGTTATCAAAAAGACAAAAAATAACAAATGTTGGAGAGGATGTGGAGAAAAGGGAACCCTTGTACACTGCTGGTGCAGCCACTATGAAAAGCAGTATGGAGAGTCTTCAAAAAATTAAGAATAATATTACCATAGGACAGAGCTTTTCTGCTTCTGTATATTTATCCAAAGAATATAACACTAATTCAAAAAGACATATGCACCTCTGTGTTCTCTGAAGCATTATTTATAGTAGCCAAGATATAGAAGCCACCTAACTGTCCGTTGATGGACAAATGTATAGAGAAGATGTTTTATGTATATATGTACACACATATATATGTGTGTGTGTGTATACACACACATACACAAAACAGAATACTGCTCAGCCAGAAAATGAATGAAATCCTGACATTTGCAACAACATGGATGGACCTTAAAGGTGTTATTGCTAAGTGAAGTCAAGTCAGGTGGAGAAAGACAGATACAAAGATTTCACTCATATGTTGAATTTAAAAAAATTAAGACAGAAACACACTCATGGATACAGAGAACCAGATTGTTGGTTCCCCAGGGTAGGCGAAACGGATGATGGGGGAGAGGCCGCTTTATGGGGTGGATGGCAACTAGACTTGTGGTGGGAGTCACTGTATATGCAGGTACCAAATCATAATTTCTACACCTGAAACTTACATTGAAACATTTAAAACTCCAGTTCTTTAAAAGGAATCACTAGAAAAATGAAGAGATAAAATCCGGGAAAACAATTTAATAAACCATGTGTAACAAGTATGATCAGTATGGGAAAGATCCTGTCATCTCTTAGAAAACCAAGCATACCTCTGCCCTGTGACCCAGCAGTTCCACTCATAGGTATTTATCCAAGAGAAGTGGAAGTGTGTGTTCACAGAATGACTTGTATAAGAATGTTCATAGCAGTTTGTTTATAATAACCCCAAACTGAAACAGTGTGGGTGTCCATCAGGACGCTGAATATTTGAGGCGTACTGCCCAGTAATAAAAAAGAAGAAACTATTGATACATGGAACAATTATGCTTGAATCTCTAAAACATTATACTGAGTTAAGAAGCCTTACACAAAAGAGAGTATAACAAATGTTTCCATTCCTGTGAAATTCTAGATCAGGCAGAACCAATCTATGTGAAAAACAAAATCAGGACAGTGGCTGTGCCTGAAGGTTTGGGCAGGGATTAGCTGGGAGGGGCTAAGGAAACTTTCTGGAGTGGAGTAATATTCTGTGTGTTTTTAGGGATCTGAATTACATATGTGTGTTTGCATTTGCCATAACTAAATAAATAACATATTTAAGATGGTTGTTCAATTCAGGGTCCATACGTTTTACCTCAAAACAAAAAATATAAACAAATATTGAACTCTAGTTAATGATATTCTCTTGAATTCTTAAGAAGTGTGCAGACGTTAGCAAATTATCTTGAAATGTGTCCAAAAAATGAGGTGGATCAGTGGATTGATAGAAGCGTGAATAGAAGGATAGCTAAAATGTTGGTGGTGGAAATGCAGGATGTTTATTGTCAGATTCTTTGAACCTTTCTGCATGTTTGTAAAGAACATTTCTAACGTGCAGAGAAAGTTCATTAACACTTTTCCACTAATTCCTCCTGTGTATTCCTAGAGTTTTTCCCCAGATATAAAGTCCCCGTTTAGATGTTCATTTCCTTTTTTTTTTTGCCAGTAGTAATAATCGTCACTATGTATTTTTTTCTCTAGAATTACAGATGAAAAGAGCAAGCCGACCAGACACTGATGCAGTCCTAGTTTTTGTGCTGACAATAGGAGTTATTATCTGCATATTTGTGATCTTTGTACTAATCTTCATAATCATAAACTGGTAGGTGAAGAACTGCAACTAAACCATCACCCTTGATAAAAAATCTGCTTGTCTGCCCCTCCCTGTCCAGTGAATCTAAGGCCCTGTCCATTATGCTTCTCATGCAGGTTTCAAGACTGTCCAACTCTCTTCATCCCTCCTGAGACAATCCTGGTTCAAGTTACCTGATCTCATGACTTGATCCCCAGCCATGAGAGAATTTTTAAATGCAGTTTTCTATAGTAGTTGTTAAAGCAAAAATTTTATGTAGTAGTTGTTAAAGCAAAAATTTTATTGAGTTAACATTTGTGTTGTCTAGTTGAAAATCAGTTGTCACTCAGTCGTGTCTGACTCTTTGCGACCCCATGAACCGCAGCATGCTGTTGCCTCCCTGTCCATCACCAACTCCCAGAGTCTACCCAGACCCATGTCCATGGAGTCGGTGATGTCATCCAGCCATCTCATCCTCTGTCGTCCCCTTCTCCTCCTGCCCCCAATCCTTCCCAGCATCAGGGTCTTTTCAAATGAGTCAGCTCTTCGCATCAGGTGGCCAAAGTATTGGAGTTTCAGCTTCAACATCAGTCCTTCCAATGAATATTCAGGACTGATCTCCTTTAGGATGGATTGGTTGGATCTCCTTGCAGTCCAAGGGACTCTCAAGACTCTTCTCCAACACCACAGTTCAAAAGCACCAATTCTTCGGTGCTCAGCTTACTTTATAGTCCAGCTCTCATATCCATACATGACCACTAGAAAAACCATAACCTTGACTAGATGGACCTTTGTTGGCAAAGTAATGTCTCTGCTTTTTAATATGCTGTCTAGGTTGGTCATAACTTTCCTTCCAAGGAATAATCATCTTTTAATTTCATGGCTGCAGTCACCATCTGTAGTGATTTTGGAGCCCAGAAAAACAAAGTCAGTCACTGTTTCCACTGTTTCCCCATCTATTTGCCATGAAGTGATGGGACTGGATACCGGGATCTTAGTTTTCTGAATGTTGAACTTTAAGCCAACTTTTTCACCCTCCTCTTTCACGTTCATCAAGAGGCTCTTTAGTTCTTCATTTTCTGCCATAAGGGTGGTGTCATCTGCATATCTGAGGTTATCGATATTTCTCCTGGCAATCTTGATTCCAGCTTGTGCTTCCTCCAGCCCAGCGTTTCTCATGATGTACTCTGCATATAAGTTAAATAAGCAGGGTGACAATATACAGCCTTGACGTGCTCCTTTTCCTATTTGGAACCAGTCTGTTGTTCCATGACCAGTTCTAACTGTTGCTTCCTGACCTGCATACTACTTGAAAATAATCACAACTTTAAAACGTGGTTGTTATAAACAACTAGTTCATCATAATACCTGATACCTACATGAGTATCACCCCCTGGTAGCTCAGAGGGCTCATCTACTATCACAATGCAGGTGATGCACTGCAAAATAGAAATAAATCCTGACCAAGGAGGCACTTCTATGGGTTTCCCTGGTGGCTTAGCAGTAAAGAATTCATCTGCCAATGCAGGAGACCTGGGTTCAATGCCTGGGTGGGGAAGTTCCCTCAGAGAAGGAAATGACATGCCATTCCAGTCTTCTTACCAGGGTTATCCCATGGACAGAGGAGCCTGGCAGGCTACAGTCCAGGGGGTTGTGGAGTCAGACACGACTTAGCAACTGAACAACAACAAGGAGGCGCTTGTTGTTAGAAAACTAAAGTTTCAGTTTTCATTTCAAAAAATATTAAAAAAATTTTTTCTTCCAGGACGGCAGTCAAAGATTTCTGGGGGGCAAAGGCCTCGACAACTGAGATACAGTCTGAGCTGAGTTCAATGAGATACAAAGATTCAACTTCTCTTGACCAGTCACCAACAGATATACCTGGACATGAAGATGATGCTTTAAGTGAATGGAATGAATGATGCATGCATGATGCATAACAAACCAAAGGAGACTAGAGCATATCAGATTCATTATTATAAAAATATATAGTTAAATACTTTAACAGTATTGTAAGTGATTTGTTATAGTCTGAAGGTAATACAATATGAGAAGGGGATTTTTTAATCAGTGCATCTTGGTGGTGTAGTTATCAAAATTTTTAAAATTTGTTCTCAACATTTACCATTTCAGATAATCACTTTATCTAGGGGTACATACACAAAATCTTTTAAATACATTTTTAATCACTTTGATCACTTGTAAGGTGATTTGCCTGTTCTGTCCTCAATAAGAAAAAAAACCAAAGAGAAGATACCTTGCATATTAGACCTTCTCCTCACTGGGAGCACTGGATTGAACTTGCTTAAAGCAAATCAAATTTTCGCATCCCTGAAGGGCAGGAGACATGCAAAGCGTCACTTTTAAGACATAAAATAATAATAATAATGAAAACAACTGACACTTAGTAGCTACTATGTGCCAAGCGTTGCTCAAAGCATTTTACATGCATTAAGCCATTTAACTATGATTCCATATAGAAAGAGTATATAGCAAAGAGCTGGGAAGGAACTTTGGGATGGCTGAGTAAATGACAAGAATCTAACGTTCTGTAATTTATAGAAACAGTGAATTCAGGAGTTTTGCATGGCTACTGATAAGTGCCTTCACTGTGTTTGGCGTGCAGGTGGGAACATCTCAAAACTTACCTCAGTGCCATGGCTGCCTTCTTGTCAGTAACCACTGCTGTGTCGTTAACTGATACAGCTGTGATCAACTATCAGCCAAGATACTAAGACATTAGATAATTTGATTTGGTAGACTTCATCAGAAATTAATTTTTAGAGGCTATGATAGTAAGTACAAAATACACTTAATTTTTTGTCTAGATGAATTGTATGCCAGCTTTATTGGAATTATTGGATTTGTTAACTGCACATCTATGAAAAAGACATTGTGAGTGGACATTTATGGTATACCTCCCTATGATAGCTTAAATATAGGCTGTGTGGTGGAATTTTCCATGCTTTCTGTTATAACGCATTTGTATTTGAGAGAAGCAGTGAAGAATTGGCTGGGAATGATTTTGTTATCTGTTGTAGGAATTCCACTAGAGACTAAGTGAAAAGAAATTGTTTTCATAAAATATTCCAAAAGAATTGTTTTGTGTGTGTGGTGTGTGAGAGACATTCCTCTTTCCCCCAGATAAGTATGAAAAAAAATAAGCCTTCCTATTTCTTATTCCTAAATATGGTCATGTAACTTTAGCATAGATGCTAAACATTCTTCAATAGTAATTACTTTCAGTTCTTATTTTCAAAACCATGAGCAGCAGTCATGTCCAGCTGCACCTCAGTGCCTGTTAGTATTCAGTCAGGAGGTGTAGCCGCCCGTGGTATGTAGCGCCCACTTTTGACTGTCTGTTTTCCAGCCATGTGTGAGTGCAGGATCTCCAGGCCCTTGAGACTGGGTGGCGTCACATGACCAGTTCTGGTCCACGAGTTATGAGCCCAAATTCCGAATGTCATTCTCAGCCTAGAACATTTCACTGTGGAAACATCCAGAGCTCACTTTTCTCTGCTGGAGCAACCAGAAATGCTTACAAGGTGGCTTCTCTGACACCTTGGATCCCAGAGTGAAGCCATGCAGTGCAGGATCTGCGGTCAATGAACAGTAAATGTGTAGTGTGAAAGAGAAATAAATCATGTTATTTTTAAGCCACTAAGGGTTAGAGGCTGTTTGATATAGCAGCCTTAGTAAGACTGTCCTGAGGGACATGTGTTTTCTGAAAAATAGGTTTTCATGTTGAATGAGTTGAAGACTTTCGTGCAAGACTCCCCATCGACATGCTGTATGTACACTGTGACTCCCTGAAGCAGAGATGTGGGTGTAACACCACTGTAGACAGGACCCGTCACTTTCCTCTTCAGGTAGCCCAGGCCAGAGGCGTCTTCTTGTCCTCATCTACTCCTAAGTTCCAGGCATCTGTTAACTTCTGATCACCAAAATAACACAGGCACACACACACACGAAGTCTTGAAGTTTGCATCTGGGTCCAGGAGGTAAAGAAAAGCCAAGTCTTGGACCCCAAAGCATTGGGCTGCATATGCAGCAGCTGGATTTTGCGCAGCATTCAAATGACACCCTACTCACCAAGAGACTCCTTCGTCTGTCCTGTCAGTTAACTGGCATTCATTGGGCCACTCCTGTGGGACAAATACTGTACCAGGCACTAGGAATACAGACTGTGCGCCCCACAGAAGGTAAGATCCTTCTCTGAGTTGGTCAGTTACCCAAGACAGCCACTAAAACTAACTACAGACTGACTAAAACTGAGATGAATGTATGGAAAGAAACCTGCAAGTTTCTGTGAAGCTGTAGTAAGAGAAATGACATTTAAAGGAGACATAAAGCTTGCATAGGAGTTGCCCTGTTTAATGCGGAAGGAAGCCTCGGCAGAGGGAACAGTATTTGTGGAGCCTCTGAGTCAGAAAGTAACATGCCACGTCCTGAAGAAGGGTTAACCGAGCTGAAGTGTATAGAAAGAGAAAACGAGTAGTGGGAGATGAGACTGGAGACGTATGCAGGAAGAGGTGATTGTATGTATACAATACATAGGAAAAAATGTGGCTCAGTGGCCTAAGTATACATATCAAGGGAATCCATGTTGAAATTGGCACTACTGATTTTTTTTTCTGCTTTATCACATTTGCTCATGCCTTCCTGGAATTCATTTGTTATTGGCCTTCTGACAATGACTTTGATGCTTTCCTAGATAGGGTAGTTTCATCACTAATCTGCATTCTTTTGAGTCCTACTGAAATGCAAGGTCTCATTAATCAGGCCTTAATTCTTGTCCATAATAGTTCCTAATTCACTCTCATATTATGCAGCTAAGAGCTGCCAAGGATTGAGTTCACACCAGTGACAAGGACTGTTGGGCATACTTTGGGGCCAGCAGCAAATGATAAGGTGATAGACAGAGTAGGTTGCAGCTTTTCTACAGTCTTGAATACGTCATGGAATTACTCATCCTGTTTAAATGCATTTCAGTTTTATTCAGTTAACATAGGCGTAATGTTTCAACTCAAAATGGGTTTTTTTTCCCCAGAATGACTCTAATATAATCCATATAGTCTCTGTTTCTGTCTTCTTGATCTCTTGAAAATTGATGTGCTTTTTTTGTTGTTGTTGTTGTTCCACTTTATATTTTACATCTTCTTCAGTCATTTTTGGTTATATTCTGGAAGACAATCTTTTTGGAATTCATAACCCATCACTGTTGTGATCCACCATCTGTCTCAAAAAAAACATAGAACCCATTTACATGGTTATTTAGACTTGGAGTTTTGTGCAGTTTTATTATCTGTGATCAAGTCATTTGTGTGATGGAAAACAGTTTGCCTTTGACAGCTTTCTGATTCTTGTTGAAAAAGGAACTAGGATGTTGAATATCAAGCGTTTTTCTTTACCATTTAAAGGAAATAAATTGCAAAAGGGAACACATCTTTCTTTGATATTCAACTTCTACATTTTGTGAAAATACCCCATGTGTGCATTTGAATAAATGGTAGGTATTCAAGTTTTTTTTCTTGTTAGGAAGAAAATTTAGGACTGAGTAACAATTATTTCAATCGTGTTCTTAGACATATGTGTACTAGTTTATTATTTTTTTGTACCTGTCCATGTATTTATAAATATAGATCTTATTTGAAATAATAAGAGTCCCTACACTCTGTAGTGAGTATTTTCACCAAAAACAAAGTACATTACTATCTCTGCTAAGTGAAACTTGCACGAGTAAAGGTCCAAAGGTAGTAATACAAACATTTGCTTTATATGATGACAGTAGATATGTCCTTGAGGAGTGTTTCCATCACTTAGAGGAATTACGCTGAGCTACCAACAATGCCCACTGAGCTGCTTTTTCACTTGGATACTTTTTTTTTTTTGGCATGCATTATTTGTTGAGGACAATAGGAACATCACAGCTTCCTTTCTGTATATTAATCTTCTCCCTTTTCTGACAGATAGGGTTTTAGGTATTCCTGAGATAAAACTCAAGGTGATTTTGGACCAACTGGTTGGGCATTGTGAGATTTGTATTATTTATGCAGTACCCCCAGGTAACACCAATAAAGTGCTTTACAAGGAAAAGAAATCATCTGACAGTAATGAAATCATGTTCTTCCAGAACAAACAATATACGACGCTAGAGGTAGTGGGGACAGAAAACAGCGCAGTACAAGCAATAGTCTTTTATATCCTCCAGGGAAAAGCAGCGCGCAGCGCAGTTATTAGAGCGAGCAAGCTTCAGAAAGAGAGCGGATGTGCTGGCTGGCCTTGCAGCAGGAACAGGAGCTGCGTCGATGTGCACAAGTGGGGCGCTCTCTGTGGGAGGATGACGGAGGGTGTTGGCTGAAGTTCCCAGCACCTGAATCTGCTGCCTCAAGACGCCAGAGGAGCCGGCAGGGCCAGGGGAAGGAGTCGGGGGCTGCAGGAAGGGTGAGAGAGAGCTGTAAGCAGGTGCAGAGTTCTGGGGGGGGGGGGGAGCTGGAAGGTGAAGAGGCGCCAGAGAAGAGCGGGAGAAACAGAGTCTGAACAGCAGGAAAGGAAGACGGCCTTGGCAGTCGCCCTTGGCAGAGACCGGAGTAGGGAACTGACGAGAAAGGGGCCAATGAGAAGGAGTTTGTGTAAATCAAGGCAGGATGTGATGCGTGTCTTGGCAGCAGAGAAAAATTAAAAAGAACAGACTTTAGGGGAAAAAAAGATTTTAAGTAAAGCTAGATATGAGGATATACAGGAAAAGAGAACGTGAATCCAGAATCCAAGTTTAATTTCTTTGTCGTTACCTTCCCTGTCAGCTACTCTGTCAGTCAGCCCCCTCCCTCTTTTTCATCAAAAATCTCCTTTGATTTCAGCAACCCTGCTTTCCCTCTGCCTCCCTGTCATCCTCTTTCTTAGGGCGTAATCCCTTAGTCTT